TCAAGGAGGGCGGAGCTTAGTGCAAAATCCGCATTTTCCTACAAAAAATACCATGTGAAACATGTTCTTCAGTGATGGTGTTGCTCAAAGAAAAATATTGGTAAAGAAACAAGTATTTTGCAGTTAAACTCAGCCCTCTTGGTTTACAGCGAATAAAAAAAATCATAACAATTCTGATAGGGCGGGTGGGTGGGCTTATGTTTTGTCTTTTGATTTTAATATATGTAGACTTCTTTTCAGAACATGAAACTTAAAACACCTTTGAAATAGAAAATTTGTATAAGCAAATATCGATTTAGCAATTATGCTCCGCACGATAATTGCAAAATCTATGTTTCCTTGCAAAAATGTACCATCAACCATGTTTTAAATTTCTTGTTGTGAAAAGACGGCTATGTATATTAAGAAAAATAAAGCAAAATTAAACCCCACCCACCCGCCCTATCTCAATTGTGACGCTTTTTCTTTATTCGTCGTTAGTCAAGGAGGGCGGAGCTTAGTGCAAAATCCGTATTTTCCTACAAAAAATACCATGTGAAACATTTTCTTCAATGATGGTTTTGCTCAAACAACACTATATGTAAAGAAAAAAGTATTTTGCAGTTAAACTCCGCCCTCTTGGTGTACGGCGAATAAAAAAATCATAACAATAGAGATGGGGCGGGTGGGCGGGCTTAGGTTTTGCCTTTTGGTTTTAATATGTGTAGACTTCTTTTCACAATATGAAACTTAACACATGTTTAAGTAGAAAATTTGGATAAGGAAATATCGATTGCAATTAGGCTCCGCCTCATAATTGCAAAATCCATATTTCCTTGCAAAAATGTACCATCAACCATGTGTTAAATTTCTTGTTGTGAAAAGAAGGCATTGTATATTAAGAAAAATAATGGTAAAATATAAGCCCCACCCACCCACCCTATCTCAATTGTGACGTTTTTTCTTTATTCTTCGTTAGTCAAGAGGGGCAAAATCCGTATTTCTACAAAAAAGATTTTTCGAAAATTTGACTTTCAGACCGACTATTTTGAAAATTTAGACCAGGACTATAAAAATGCTACGTTTTTCAAATCAGGCCCTAGATTTCTATGTCAGAATCAGAATTTTTAGCGGATTTTTACACAGCTTTTCCAAAAGTTCAATTTTTCATTACTCTATGAATTTTTTTCTTCTTCTCGAGCACCTTTGAAAATGAATTAAAAAAAATACTGAAAGAGATTTTGAGAATTTATTATTTATTCAGAATTGCCAATGTAAAATATGGCAATTTTTAAGATTTTTCCAAAATTTGACTTTCAAATGGACTGTTTTGAAAATTTAGCCCGAATTTATTTTTATATCCCAGGTTTTTTCTCTAATTCCTTCGAAAATTATCGAAAGAAATTTTTGGTAGATTTAGACCTTGTTTTCTACTTCATTTCGTCGAAAATTGTTCCCATTTTTTCAAAATCGTGCATATGACAATTTAGGATTTTTGGAAAATTGGATTTCTAAACCGAAAATTTTGAAAATTTAGTCCGGAACTATGAAAATTCTGTGGTTTTCGAATCAGGTCGTCGATATCTAAGGTATATTCCAGAATGTTGTGTAATTTTTCGCAGCTTTTCCAAAAACTCAATTTTTCAATACCCTCCTCTTATGAAATTTTTTATTTTTCTCGAGCACCTTCGAAAAGTAGGTACCTAAACAATGTTTTTGTAAATTTCGTCTTCAGAAGTTGTTTTCAGCTTTATTGTTTCGAAAATCCTTGCCACTTTTTCAAATTCGCCAACATGTTTTGTGATTTATCGCACGTTTTCCAAAAGCTCAGTTTTTCAGTACTTTTCTCTTATGAATTTTTTTATTTTTTCTCGAGCTCCTTCGAAAATTATTTTGAGATTTTTTTCGGCCTCATTTCTTTGAAAATACCTACGAAATGAAGGACAATATTTAGAATTTTGAAAAAAATCTTCTTCAATGTGAATATTTCGAAAATCTTAGTGTAGGACTAGAATTTTTCTAGATTTTTTCGCAGTTTTTCCAAAGGATCAATTTTTCAAAATCCTCCTCTTAAGAATTTTTTTTGAACACGTTCGGAAATTACATAAACAAATTTTTTGGTTTATTTCGACATTCGGAAGTTGTTTTCGCTTTCATTTCGTCGAAAATTCTTGCCATTTTTTCGAAACTGCCACCATGACAATTTTTAGGATCTTTATAAAAATTTGACTTTCAAACCGACTATTTGAAAATTTAGTCTGGAACAATCAAAATTCTATGGTTTTTGAATCAGGTCGTCGATGTCTATATCCCCGATTTTTTGTGGTTTTCGCAGCTTTTCCAAAAGCTCAATTTTTCAATACCTTCCTTCCTGAAATTTTTGACTTTTTCTCTAACACCTTCGAAAATTACCCAAAGACATTTTTTAAAGAGTTCAACCTCAAGAAGTTGTTTTCGGCCTCATTTCGTCAATGTTTTTTCCATTTTTTTCAAAATCGACAATATCACATTTAAGATTTTTAGGAAATGTGACTTTCAAATGGATTATTTTGAAAAATTAGTCCAGAACTATCAAAATTCTGTGGTTTTCGAATCAGGTCGTCGATGTCCGTGTCCTAGATTTTTTTTATTTTTTTCAACTTTTCCTAAAGTTCAGTTTTTATTGCCCTTCCCTTATCAATTTTTTTACTTTTTCTCGAGTACCTTCGAAAATTACCCAAATAATTTTTTTTATAGATTTCGATCTCCACAACTTGTTTTCGGCTGCATTTCGTCACAAATTTTTACCTTTTTTTTTTTAAATTGCTAGTATGATATTTAAGATTTTTAGAAAACGTGACTTTCAAATTGATTATTTTGAAAATTTTGCCCGGAACTATCAACATTCTGTGGTTTTCGAATCAGGTCGTCGATGTTAATTTCCCAGATTTTTTGTTATTTTTGGCAGCTTTTCCAAAAGCTCAGTTTTTCAATACTCTCTTCTTATGAAATTTTTGACTTTTTCTCGAGCACCTGCCAAAAATTACTGAAAGAGATTTTTTGTATATTTCTACCTCCAGACGTTATTTTCGGCTTCATTTCGTCGAAAATTCTTGCCATACATATTTTCCAATTTGGAATTTTTGGGATTTTTTGAAAATTTTACTTTCAAATCGACTATTTTGAAAATTTAGTCCACAACTATCAAAATGCTACGTTTTTCGGAGCAGGTTGTCGATATCTATATCCTTTTCGGCCGCTTTTCCAAAAGCTCAATTTTTCAATTCTCCCCTATGAAATTATTTGTTTTTCCCGAGCGCCTTTGAAAATTACCAAAACAAAAATGTTTTATAAATTTAGACGTCCACAAAAATTCAGGGACGTAGATCTCGACGCGCCGATTCCAAAAATATAGCATGTTGATGGTCACGAAGCAACATTTTCGAAAAAATCGATACGAAATACGAATTTTTGAAAATTTAAAAAAATTCGACATTTCAACGGTCGATTCTGGAAAAACGGTTGCAGTTATCAAAGAACCGATGCTGGAATTGAGCTCTAGAGCTCGAAATCTACAAGAAAATGTGTTTAGTTAAGTTTAGAAAATGTCAAAACTTTAGCGAAATTTGGAGAAGGGGGGGACCGTTAAAAAATTTCAATTTTTAAAAAGTTGCCTAAAAAGTATGAAAAAATTCAGGGACGTAGATCTCGACGCACTGATTCCAAAAATATAGCATGTTGCTGGTCACGAAGCAACATTTTCGAAAAAATCGGTACGAAATGCGAATTTTGAACATTTATTAAAAAAATCGTTATTTAAACTAGTAATTAGTTTTGATGCAATACGAGTGAACTATGGAAACAAAAAAATCAATTTTCTTTTTATATGGTGTAAGTCGTGGTCGTCCGAAATTTGGGTTTTAAATTGATTATTGTGTCAATTTTACAAATTACATTCTGTACAAAAATGAGCGAAACTAATTTTCAACAGATCTCCTAGTCAATTTACGAGTACCATATAGGTACTAATAAATGTATATATTATACAGATTAATGTACGAAAGGAGGCGAAAGACAAATATTGTCGATATTTTTTTCACAAACTACCTTACACCTAATATATTATCTCAGCGTGACCAGATATGCTCCAATATTTATTACACAAAAATAAAAACACCACTTAAAATTCCAACATTTTGTAGAATTTCTAATTATAATTCTTCACATTTTTCAGATTTAGTTGCAACCATGCTCATCATTACATGTTCATTTAACTCTTTCGATAGATACCGTAAATAATTTAAAGCGCTTGATACCATAAAAATTTTACTAATGTGTTTAAAAGTGAAGCCACTATCATAAATATGTTGTCCCGAAGTGCTACCTTTGTGGAGTCACGACGGTACATTTAAAACCAGATTTACGATCAATTAATCTGACATATTGCCGGGATTGGAGACTCTAACTAATACAAACTTGGACTTTCAAACTTATTAATAATAATCAATTTAACACTATAACGTAAGACGATTTTCTCACGTTGACCTGTTTACGAACTGTAAAAACAGTGCCGTATTTTGCTGGTCGCCACTTTTTCTCCTCAGTATGAACCAGTTCCACTTAAAATAAAATTCACCCACATTAAAACCCGCACAGATAAATATCTAACTGATTACAACTTTAATAATCCAGTTCTGCTTTTTATCTCCATCGCCTCGCAGAACATTAAGGCGACCTCTCATAAACGTAACGATAATGAAACAATAATTACGCTCAATTACCTGCTTTCTGATTGGATTATTACGCACGATTACGTTTTTACTTGAAACGCAACGAAGATGATTACTTACGCGCGGTAGCGTCATTATAAAACGGTAAACACTCATTATAATTCAGTCTAGGTGTGCTGTGTCCACATTTACGCTCTTTTCGAGAGCCATATACAGAAGTACCGTGTGAAAGAAAACCCGGGGGTTAGAGTTGGCTGCGCTATACTCCGTTTACCGAACAGATGGACTACAATTTTTTTTTAAATTACTCACGTTTGCATTCGTGCGCGTCTCGCGCCGTCGCCCGCTTCCACGGGGCGTCGTTGTAGAACGGCAGACACTCGTTGCAGTCCGGCCCCGCCGTATTGTGCTCACATTTACACACCCTCCGCCGAGAGCCGTCGACTCCGGTTGAAGTGATGCATTCGGAAGCGTGACCGTTGCACTTGCACCTTGCACCGACAGCCACGTCGGCGATGGCGTAGAAGTAGGAGCGCAACACCTGTTGATCGCCGAACACTTCATCACCGAAGGTGTTGAGGCGGTCGAGGGTTATCATCACGTCGGTGGCGGTGACCCATTCCTGGAATTAATAGATGCGAATGACAAATGGCGTGCGAATAGGTATTGCAGGCGTGTCGAAGTTTATGGATGGTGTTGACACTTAATAAAAATTATTAATAATAATGATAATAATCATCATAATGGGAGAGATGGGTGGATGGCGGTTGTGAATAGCACATCGGAGAATTTATTACAGTTTGTCTGAATAACTGAATAAATTTTGACCTAATTGAATCGATCTTCAGGTTTGATTATATTGTGATTCATGAACTGATCTGAATTCCGTAGATCGTGGTTTTTGCTGCTTTGTGGATCCAGCGTTAAAGGCCAAAAATATGTAGTTTGATTTCCTATTTGGTTTTATTAGATTATGATCATAAAAATTTGAATTTTAAAATTATTTGTTCGGCGGAAACTGATACCTACGAAGTCCGGAATAATAAAATTTGAATTTAAAATTGCTTATTCGGTTGAAATTGATATTTTTAGATTCGGTTTGAATTAAAATGGGATTTAAGTATAAAATTTTTCAGGATTTCTAATAATTATACGAAGTAGAGATAAAAACTTACCAGTATACTAAAAATCTTTATGCGTACAGAAAGGGGAAATTCTGATTCGTATATTATAGAATTAACTGTTCACTGTATGACGTTAAATATTTTTTTTTATTTTTCCTTGTGAATTTTTAATATTAAATCAAGAAGTCTACAATTTTTTGGCTCCAAATTTTTATTCAAGGGGTTCAAATTAGGGAAAGGGGTCATTTTAGACTAGAATGGAGAGTTTAAATATGGCCTACATTTGAAAATTTTGACCGAAAGAAGCCCCTGAAAAATTCCTCAAACAATAAACTCGAGTATTAAAAAAATTTAATAAAAATCAAGAGCTCTTCTACAAATTTTTTGGTCCTAGATTCTTATTCAGGGGGTTCGAATTAGGGGAAAAAGTGATTTTCAGAAAATTCGAGACACGTTTAACCGAGATAGCCTAAATTCGAAAATTTTGACCAAAAAAAGCTCAGAAAAAATTGCTCAAAAATAAATATGTATGTTTCAATCTTGCTGAAATTAAATTTCTAGATTAATTTTGCCCAGCTGAGTGCGTTTTCCACATCGTTGTTGAAAATTTTCGCTATTTTAAACGAAATCTTCCTTTAATCAAAACTCAAAAAAAAACAAATTGTGAGTTTGACGGTCCATAACTTTTGAACGGACTAAATGAGCTTATTCTAGTTTTCATCATCCAAGTTCTTGAAATTTTCTAGTCGCATTGGGTAGTTTTCAGGCTGGAAACCTTGCCCGTTTAGACTCTATGCAGAAATTTATCTGACGGTGTCATTTTCAGGGAACTTGAAATTAAAAAAATAAAAAAAAAATCAGGAGCTTTTCTACAATTTGTTTGGCCCCAGATTCTTCTTCAGGAGGTTCGAATTAGGGAAAGGAGTGATTTTCAGAAAATTCGAGACACGTTTAACCGAAATAGCTTGATATGGCCTTAATTCGAAAATTTTGACCAAAAAAGCTCAGGAAAATTTGCTGAAAAATAAATATGTTTCAATCTTGCTGAAATTAAATTTCTAAATTAATTTTGCATGGCTGAGTGCGATTTTAGCATTGTTGTTGAAAATTTTCGCTATTTTAAACGAAATCCTTCTTTAATCAAAACTCAAAAAAACCAAATTGTGAGTTTGACGGTCCATAACTTTTGAACGGACTAAAAGAGCTCATTCTGGTTTTCATCACCCAATTTCTTGGAGTTTTATAGCCGCATTGGGTAGTTTTCAGGCTGAAACCCTTGCCCGTTTAGGCTCTATCCACAGATTTATCGGACGGTGTCATTTTCAGGAGATTAGAATATAAAAAAAATAATAATAAAAAAAAAATCGGGAGCTCTTCTACCATTTGTTTGACCCAAGATTCATCTTTAGGAGGTTCGAATTAAGGAAAAGAATGATTTTCAGACAATTCGAGGCAAGTTTAACCGAGATAGCTCGATATGGAAAAAATTCGAAAATTTTGACCAAAAAAAGCTCAGAAAAAATTGCTCAAAAATAAATATGTTTCAATCTTGCTGAAATTAAATTTCTAGATTAATTTTGCCCAGCTGAGTGCGTTTTTCACACCGTTGTTGAAAATTTTCGCTATTCTAAACGAAATTCTTCTTTAATCAAAACTCAAAAAAACCAAACTGTGAGTTTGACAATCCATAACTTTTGATCGGGCTAAAGGAGCTTATTCTGGTTTTCATCTCTCAATTTCTTGGAGTTTTCTAGCCGCATTGGGTAGTTTTCAGGCTGAAACCCTTGCTCGTTTAGACTCTATACACAGATTTATCTGACGGTGTTATTTTCAGGAAACTTGAATTTAAAATTTTTTTTTAAATCAGGAGCTCTTCTACAATTTGTTTGGCCCCAGATTCTTCTTCAGGAGGTTCGAATTAGGGAAAAGAGTGATTTTCAGAAAATTCGAGACACGTTTAACCGATTTAGCTTGATTCGAAAATTTTGACCAAAAAAAGCTGAGGAAAAATTTCTAAAAAATAAATATGTTTCAATCTTGCTGAAATTAAATTTCTAGATTAATTTTGCCCAGCTGAGTGCGTTTTTCACATCGTTGTTGAAAATTTTCGCTATTTTTAAACGAAGTCTTTGTTTAATCAAAACTCAAAAGACCAAATTGTGAGTTTGACGTTCTATAGCTTTTGAACTGAAAAAAAGAGCTTATTCGGGTTTTTGCCAATCAATTTCTCGAAATTTTCTAGTGGCATTGGTTAGTTTTCAGGCTGAAACTCTTGCCCGTTTAGAATCTATGCACACATTTTTATTGGACGGTGTCATTTTCAGGAGTTTCGAATAAAAAAAAAAATAAAAAAAAAATCAGGAGCTCTTCTACCATTTGTTTGACCCAAGATTCATCTTTAGGAGGTTCGAATTAAGGAAAAGAGTGAATTTCAGACAATTCGAGGCAAATTTAACCGAGATACCTCGATATGGAAAAAATTCGAAAATTTTGACCAAAAAGGAGCTCCGGAAAAATTGCTGAAAAAATTAACATGTTTCAATCTGGCTGAAATTAAATTTATAGGCTAATTTTGCCCAGCTGAGTGCGTTTTTAGCACCGGTTGTTGAAAATTTATACTACGTATAAAAAAATCAAACTCAAAAAATTGTGAGTTTGACGGTCCATAACTTTTGAATGGACAAAGGGAAAATATTCTGGTTTCTACCATTCGATTTCTTATATGTAATTTCCTGGTCATGGTGTATTTTCATGTAAGTCCTTTTCGAATCTACATACACCTTTATCAGATGATTTCATTTTCGGGAAACCCAAAAGTTAAAAAATTTCAAAAAATTCAGTAGCTCTTCTGCAGTTTTTTTGGCCCCAGATTCTTATTCAGAAAGTTCGAATTTGGAAAAGGAGTAATTTTCATACAAATCGATCGATTTAAAATCTCGGTCTTTGTAATCATTAATGCTAAAATAAATTCGTAAATTTTAATTTTGTTGTAATTTTATAAATTCCTATTTTTTTTTAATCATAATTTGTAATTTAAAAAGTTTCAGTAGAAAACATAAATAAGGAAATTTAGCAGAATAAACACAGTCGAACCTCAGTAAGTCGAACCTCATTAAGTTGAACCTCAATAAATCGAATCGATCTTGTTGAAAGTTTGTTTATTATAAGGAGACGTTTCACTTTTATATTAAAATACGAATGTTTGTTGATCAAAATTTTGTCACCACGGAGCCACGATCTATTGCCAAACCAGAATGTCCAAAAAAAATTAAATTTTCTATGCAGCTTATATCTACGAATAATTTTGTAGATATAATATATTTTGTAGACCAAATTCTTAATTTTTGACAAAGAAGTTTCTATAAATCACTTAGATTCTTTTGAAAAAAAAAACTGTCGAAAAATGTGAACTAGTTGGCCGTGGATAATCAGCTGCATCTATTATAGCCCTGAATGGTCCAGGGCTAACTAGAAAACGACTTTTTTATCGTAGTTTCGTAACTATTCATGACATATCTTAATTTATTTAAATTTAAATTAAGTCAAATTTTGCTTCAACTCACAAATGAAAAAAAAAATTGCGTTGCGAAATTTTGAGATGACGTCATCAATTTGTTCCTGGGGAAGATAAGACAATTTTTGTTAGCATTTTACCATCTAGACGAAATTCCTAAAATATCATCAAATTTTAGGATATTCACCCATCCACCCATTTTTTTTAAGACCCAATTTATTCACCTCAGGATGAATAGTGTATTTTATATTGACAAATAGTTCAAATTTTACAAAAATTTAACTTGCCCCACCCGCCCACCCCTTCTCTATTTCAAAGATTCATTTTATGCCTTTTATCTTGTTTTAGCATAAATTTATTGAATGTCAAAATATCTGTCACTGCCAGAAGAGTTAGTTACGGAAATTTGTCGAAAATTCAGAGAACGTGTCATATTTTCGAAAATCTTACTACCTGCGCCAAAGTTACGTAAATTTGGTAACGAAAACGTCAAAAAAGCTCAAATTCGACTCTGAAATAGCAAATAAAAACTCTTTTAACCACATTGTGCTTAAAAATCTCCGTGTTGTCCATTCCCACAATCAAACCCCATATTTGTCGCTGTAAAACCAATACATGCGTAAACCACGCTTTACGCTGCATAGTGACATCAAACTCGATTTTACGTCCACCATAACATAGGCCATTACATTAGCCGGAAGGTTTTATAGGCGTGCTGCCGGTAAATTAAAAGAATTAAATAAAAGAAAAAAGAAGCCTGAAATGGTATGTAAATATTTAAAAAATCGTTTCCCATCATGAAAAAAGAGGTTACCTACCGCAGGATTGATTCCGGGCAATGAAAACTTTATGGCCTGCCAATTAGTGTACAGGTGTTCCTAAACTCACGTACCAGCTATTGACAGTGAATTTTTTATCAGAGCTTCGTGAGGAATGCACTGTTAATAGTCGCCACGTGACTGGGACTCGAGGGTGTGAAAACCC